CAGGGGAGCTGGACGCCGTGCCTGCAGTGTTCTCAATCGCAAACCTGGGGACAGAGACAGAGCTCATGTATGTGACGGGAGACAACAAATGGTCTCCGTTTCAGTTCAGTTTCAAGCAAGATTACATAAGCATGAACGTGAAAATCAAGGCGGCTTCCGCATCTCAGGACCACGCGGCCTAGGCAATAACCAGTCCTGCAGATGGAGCTTAACTCCTTCCAGGCCTCTGCCGGATCTACCACCACGGTTCAAGGCTTTGGCGGCTTGGAGAGCAGCAGAACTTGCACTATGTAAGAAGGGAACAAAAGTGGCACCCTCATCCTTACCCCGCTGCTCACCCAGGGCTCCCTCTTGGGAAGCTTTGTGCTCAGGGAAGACGCTTTGAAACTACCCCTTGCTCTGAAAGGAAGCAAAACCACACCGTTCTGCACAGACGCTGTCCCTGCTGGGGAATCCCAAGGCTGCTGAGTTCACTTCTCCTGTGAGTGATGCTGAAATCCCCCAACCCCGGGCAAAGAAGCTGGACCAGTCTTGCTCATTCAGGGCTTGGTGCATTTTAGAGTCACTCACTGCGGGGGGGTGGGGGAGGTGGGGGGGGGATAGAGGCTGGGACATTGCACCCAGGTGGCGGGAGGCCATTTTCAATAGCAGGCTGTAGTTCTCTGTTCAATGTAGAACCGAGTAAATCCCGGTTGCCATGGCACTGCTTTAAATTGTGCCTGCGCTGACGTATCTTGTCACTCTGTCACCTGCTGCTCCCGCCCACTGCGGCTGCTTCTATCTCTCCCTCCCATTTGCTGATGGATGCTTGAGTTCTGCATCCAGACACAAGAGGCCTGTATTCTACTCATGGCTCTCCATTGTGTGCCCTGCGTCCTGGACTCCTCACCTGCACCCTGGAAGGGACGGAGCAGAACGTCCCCAAGGTCTCCTGATGTAACATCTCCGGCTTCTGCACGCTGCTTCGCGGCAGCAGGCAATTCCTGTAAGCTGTTGCGCTGTCCGCCCTCCCTCCCGTGCTGTTTCTGAAACCCCTCATCCAGTATCCCCCGTGAGGGATTTGTTTTGAGCTAATTCCCTGGCAAGATGCCACGCGCCAGAAAGGTCCCCTCTGATGTGCAAAGGGGGCTGTTTGCAGCTTGAGTTGAGTCATTATTTGCCTTGGAAATGTTTTCTTCCCGAGTTCTTCCCAGTTCAATGCTCACAGCTTTGGTCCCAAGGATAATGCTCCCCTTGAATAAAGTTAGCTCTAAATCTAGAAAAAATCTAGAGAAAAATCTGTGAAACCAGCCTCGGGCTTGTTTTCTTGGGCAGCATCTCAAGGGACTGAGAGCTGGAGCCAGCAGTTCCACTACCTGTCTAGCCAGCAGGCAGCTGGTGTCCCTGGGTGGAAGACAAATGAGCTCATCCCATGATGGCTTGTATTACCTTGACCCCTAGCACTCACCTGCTGATGGCAGGAACTGGGCTCCATACGCTGCTTCCTACCCCATCTCAATTATCACAAGGAATTCCAAAGTCTCTTGCATATCCACAAACCAAAAATATGGCCTGGGCAGCAAGAGTAATAAGGGTAAAAGGAAGTGTCTTGGCACAAACCAGGAGCGTATAAGTCATAGGAAAGAAAGCTAGGGCTCAGTGACAATCATCCTCTTGATAACAAGGATCCCACACCTCCGTTCCCCTGATAGGGAGTGAGAGAAAAGTTTAAGCAGATTTCACAGGAAAGGTGAAATATGGACTGACTTGCAGACTGGATGCCGGCTCCAGTGACAGTGTCTGGAGAAGACGTGATGAAGCCAACACACGATGGTAGGTCTTTCCCCTCCAACCTTCAGCTGGAGAACCTGTTTATCCATTCTTTCTTTTTAATGCCCCAGGTTTAGAATTAAGGCAAAAAGACAACTGCAGGCTCTTTCGATGTCATGCTGGAGCTTTGTCTATCAGGCCTACACAGCTCCTTGGAAGAATGTTTTGTTTGACTTAAGGATTCTTTTCATATTAGAGATGCGAATTCTTCACATTCAGGGAAACCCCACAGATTACAGCTTCTTGAGCTGTAGGACGTGAACCAGGTTTGCCTCTAACCTGGCTGACTCACGTAAACTCAGCTACTCTGACCCTATACTCCACATATGTTCCTGTCTCTTCCGTTTCCTTCATTGAGTTAAACAAATATTTGACAGAGTTATCATATATTTGATAACTGCCATGTTTTTTAGCTTTCAGAGAAGTCCCCTTTAACATTTGTTTAACAAATACTTCTGGAACAATTGCTCCAGGTGAATTAGTCCATTCAGGCTGCTATGCCGGCACACCACAGACTGGGTGACTACAAACAACTGAAATGTGTTTCTCACAGTGTGGAACCTGGGAAGTCCAGGATCACAGCTCTGGTAGACTGCCTGATTCACACACAGCCTCACCTGGCAGAAGGGGCGAAGGAGCTCTCGGGGAAGAAGGGCTTCTCTTACAAGAGCACTAATTCCATTCATAAGGGCTCCACTCTCTTGACATAATCACCCCAAAACTCCACCTCCTAATTGCATCACCTGGGAGTTAGGATTTCAACCTATGAAAGCTACTGGGACGTAAACACTGAGTCCGTAGCAACAGGCAAGTCACTGTGCTAGGAGCAGGGGCGTAGGGGATATTATAGAGAACAAGATAGACAAGGTCTCTGCCCTCAGGGAGCAAATATGCTGGAGAGGAAATATTACAATACATCAATAAATTATAGCTTGTGATTAGGACAATAAGGAAGAGTACTGAAAGGGCCAAGATGCAGACCAGTGAGGGAGGCAGGCAGGGCAAACTTCTCTGAGAAGATGACGTTACGCGGAGACTTCAAATATAGAAAGAAGCCAGGAGTGGGCATTTGGCACAGAGGTTAAGCAGCTTCTTGGGATGCCCGCTTCCCACATGGGAGTATATGGGTCTGAGGCCCAGCTCCACAAGATCTGGCTCCACTCCCCATTCCAGCTTCTGGCTAATGGCACACCCTCTGAGAGAAACAGGTGCTGGCTCAAGTAGTAGGGCCCCTGCCACCCACAAGGGAGACCCAGATTCAGTTCCCAGGCATTTGCAAAGTGAGCCAGTGAACTAGTGCATGGGATATCTCTTTCTATGCCTCTCAAAATAGGTAATTTTTATTTAAAAATAAAGGAAATACAGAAGCCAGCCCTGCAAAGAAGCAGAGGAAAAGTACTCCCCATTAGGACCCTAGGGTAGGGCCAGGCTCAGCATGGAACCAAAATGCCAGGTTAGGGGCAGGCTTTGTGGTACAGCAGGTTAAGACACTGCCGCTAAGATGCCCACATCCTTATCTGCTCCATATCCAGCTTCCTGCTAATGGCACCTGTGGGCATGATGGCCCAAGTATTAGGGTTCCTGCCACCCACATGGGAGACCTAGATGGAATTTCCATCTTCTGACTTTAGCCTGACCCATCCCCAGATGTTGCAGACTTTTCAGAAATTTGAGGAGTGGGCTGGCGCCGCGGCTCACTAGGCTAATCCTCTGCCTGCAGCACCAGCACCCCAGGTTCTAGTCCCGATCGGGGCGCCGGTTCTGTCCCGGTTGCTCCTCTTCCAGTCCAGCTCTCTGCTGTGGCCCGGGAGTGCAGTGGAGGATGGCCCAGGAGCTTGGGCCCTGCACCCACATGGGAGACCAGGAAGAAGCACCTGGCTCCTGGCTTCGGATCAGCGCAGCACACTGGCCGCAGCGCACCAGCCGTGGCGGCCATTTAGGGGGTGAACCAACGGAAAAAGCACCTTTCACCAAGAAGCAAAACACCTTCCTGGAATTCTTCCATTGACTTTCCCTTGCATTTCACCAGCCTCAATGTGGTCATGTGATTGACCCTAAACCCAACACTAGAACAGGTGAACAACATAACCATGCTTGATTGAGATCAGTGGTTTTGGGGCCAGCACCACCTGCATCAGCTGGGAACTTGTTAGAAAGGCAAATTCTTGGGCCTTACCTAGACCTACTGAATCAGAGACCCTGGGGATAGGAGCTTTGAAAGGCAGGGAGAGAGAGAGAGCGAGAGATCATATACAATAAAGGAGAGGGAGACTGTTGGACAGACAAGTACTCTCCTATTATTTCCATTTAAATGAGCAATTCTATGATTGGCCTGTTGATTCTCTTGCAGTCTCCCTGACCCACGAGCTTTGCCTTCTCGGTGTTTATATCCCTAGCACAATAGAAGGCACTCAACGTTTGCTGGGCAGATGAATAAATACTAAAGAACTAGCAGATGGGAGTTCATTCTCTCTCTCACTCTGCTTCTCAAATTTTCCTTGAAATTCCAAGTGACCTCTTCTTTCTAACGCTCCATCCCCTTAACAGCTGCTTCCTGCTGCTTTCCACTCAAGGAGCATCTCCACGTCAGTCATTCAGTGAGCCAAGAGCTATCTCTTCCACAGGCCTGAGAACAATTATTCCATCGCGTATGGGAGCAGTGGAGACTCTGGCTTCCTGAAGGCATTTTTGGACTTTTATGGGCATTCATTATTCTTTAGGGGCGTCCTCAGAGAGCCTTGCTGTACGACAGCCCTGCACAGAACTAGACATGTTGATGGCTGAGCGAAGTTCTGGCAGCTGACCCCTGGCTGGCTGTCTTTCTCAGAGGCAGCTGTGTACTGAGGGTCAAACACAATGTGGAAATAAGCCCCCAGGCTTCCTCCATAGAAGGGCAGCCGTGCAGCGAGGCAGATAGCAGCCGCACTGATTTGCCCTGCTCAGCACAGGGAGCTGCGCAAGTCTTCTGGGAAAGCCACTGGTATCCCGTAGGATCCTTTGGGTTCCAAGTGACAGAAAACCAAATGCAAAATGACCTAGTGGTTAAGATGTCAGTCTGGATGCCTGCATCCCACATCAGAGCCTCGAGGTTCAATTCCTAGCTCCCGCTCCTGCCTGCCTGTATGAAACTGCTTTCCTTTAATGAAAATATCCGAGAGGAAGTTCTTTGGGAAAGAAAAGGCTTCTTTTACCTTACAGTTCTGAGATCACAGTTCAGGATCGATGGCCCCATAGTCCAGCATCTGTGGAGACTGGCTGTGGCAGGTGCAGAGGCAAAATCACGTGGAGAACCAGAAAGAGAGAACCTAGGCTGAAGCTGAACTCAGATAATAATCAACCCTCTTGAAAGAAGCCCCTCTCAGAGCATGCCTCCAGTGGCCTAAAGACCAGCCACTGGCCCCAGCTCCCAGCCACCACAGTTAGATCAAATCTCCAGATTGACATGAAGAGAGCAGAGTGCAGATATCTGTGTGAGTCTGGGACAACAAGTCCACTTGCGCTCACAATGCAGAGGCATGCAGTGACGTGATGGGAGGCAGCAGTGATGGGTCAAGCACTGGGCTCCTGCCACCCACATGGGAGACGTGGACTGAGTTCCCATCTCTTTGGTTTCAGTCCAACCCAGCTCTGACCATTGCGGGCATTTGGGAAGTGAACCAGCAAAGGCGAGTGATCTCTCTCTCTCCCTCCTTCTTAAATGAATTAATTTTTAAAAACCAAAAGGATTGGGAAGACTTCATGGGGCCCAGAATGAAAACGTCCAAGGTAATATCAGTTTCAGCTACATCTGGATGCAGATCTTCAGACAAGTTCTCAAGAACCTTCTCCCGGCCGGCGCCGCGGCTCACTAGGCTAATCCTCCGCCTTGCGGCGCCAGCACACCAGGTTCTAGTCCCAGTCAGGGTGCTGGATTCTGTCCTGGTTGCCCCTCTTCCAGGCCAGCTCTCTGCTGTGGCCAGGGAGGGAGTGCAGTGGAGGATGGCCCAAGTGCTTGGGCCCTGCACCCCATGGGAGACCAGGAGAAGCACCTGGCTCCTGCCTTCGGATCAGCGTGGTGCACCGGCCGCAGAGCGCCGGCTGCAGAGCACCGGCCGCGGCGGGCATTGGAGGGTGAACCAACAGCAAAAGGAAGACCTTTCTCTCTGTCTCTCTCTCTCACTGTCCACTCTGCCTGTCAAAAAAAAAAAAAAAAAAGAGAGAGAGAGAGAGAGAGAGAACCTTCTCCCATCATTGCTCAACCGAATCTCTTCTACTCGGCTTCACTTGGTGAGCTTTTGGCCAGCAAGCCGGGAGCAAGTCCCAGGGTTGGCCCTGGCATTGGGAAGCATTCCCCTCTTTCGTAAGAGTGCCAGCAGAGGCCTGGGGCTGACTTTTCAGCACAGGGACACTCCCATGCAACCATGCCCAGCTTGGAGCAGGGGCATTGGGCTGAGTGGAGGTCAGCCTCTCCTGAACCCCAGTGTGGACCAAGAGTGAGGGTGCCCCCCACCCTCCCCATCATAACAGCTATCAGAGGAGGCAGCAGTGGCTGCCGAGAAGGCAAAATGCATGCAGCAAGTCCACTGCTGTTCCTTATTTTGGGTCCCTAAGTAGCACTCCATAAAAGAGGCACCCACATCTTTTCACACAGGCAGAGCTGGGTGCCATTTTCCTAAACAAGGAAGAAAGTAAAGGTAGAAAATGCAGACTTTCTCTGTCCCACTGCCTTATAGCTCCCAGCCCTCCAAGAGCAGAGCTGCGGAACGCACTCACAACCTCAGAGCATCTGCTGGAACGCTCAGCTCAACGAACGCCCCGCCCCCTCGCTGCAGGCCACGCCTCCTCCAGGGGTTCTTGGCCGGCTTCTCTGTTGTAATCATCAGTTAACATCTGTGATATTTGATTTCTAGCAGGAAGGAGGGTTTTTTGTTTTGTTTACCCTCCTTCCTCCTAAGGGGGAATGAAAAACAGATTAGAACAACAAAATGAGGCTGACGGACTTCTTAATACCTAAAGATCTGCTGACCTGGGGAGTGCGGAGGTTTGGATCCCCGCTCGCTCGCTGCCACTCCCTGAAGGCAGGCGCACTCTTCCCAGCACCCTCCTGACTCACCGTCCTGGGTCCATCCAGGAAAGGAATGGAAGCAGCTAAAACATAGACCCTTCAAACTGAAGAAGGAGCCAAAGAGGGTAAGGGAGGGAAAAACACGGGAGACACTGAGCTCCAGGAGAAGAGGAATCCCAAGACTACGGGGTGAAGGTGGGATGTCTCCTGGCTGTCCCCCCCGGGCCTCTGCAAGCAGACCCTGATGCAAGCTACACATGGACGGCAGGCTTTCAGCTGCTGACGATCAAGGGCTTAGCTCCTGCCCCCACCTAACTTTTACCAGAAATGCGAGGATTAATACAGTGACTAAAAGGTGACTAATGAAGGAAGAAGGGGAAATCTGGTGCAAACAGTTCTAAACCAGGGTTTTTCACATCAAGGAGGGAAACAGGAGGGAAGCTGGGAAACGAGGCAGGAGGTCAACCCCAGCCCTCCAGCTCCAGACAAAGCCTTTAGTGGAGGTTCTCACAGCCTGGGAGTCTGCACCCCAGGGCGTCCAGGCATTGATCCATCACACAACTGCTGCTTCCCCATCAGTGGAGCACGCCGATGGAATTACATATGTATTTATTTTTAAAGCATCCAACTAGGAAATTGCAAAGCATAATGCATTATAAAAGGGGTAGTTTACTGATTTAAAAATCTCTTTCAAACTTTTTTTTTTTAATTATTTATGGGGCCAGCGCTGTGGCATAGTAGGTTAATCCTCTACCTGTACCTGTGGTGCCGGCATCCAATGTGGGCAGCAGGTTCTAGTCCCGGTTGCTCCTTTTCCAGTCCAGCTCTCTGCTGTGGCCTGGGAGTGCAGTGGAGGATGCCCCAAGTGCTTGGGCCCTGCACCCCATGGGAGACCAGGAGAAGCACCTGGCTCCTGGCTTCAGATGGGCATAGTTCTGGCTGTGGCGGCCATTTGAGGGGTGAACCAATGGAAGGAAGACCTTTCTCTCTGTCTCTCTCCCTCACTGTCTGTAACTCTACCTGTCAAATAAATAAATAAATAAATCTTTAAAAATTATTTATTTATTTGAAAAGAAGAGTTACAGAGAGAGAGAGAAAGAGAGAGAGATCTTCCATCTGCTGGTTCACTTCCCCAAATGGCCACAACAGCAGGAGCTAGGCCAAGGCAAAGAAAGGAGCCTGGAATTCCATCTGGGTCTCCAACATGAGTGGCAGGAGCCCAAGCCTTCAGGCCATCTTTTTTTTTTAAGATATACAAATTTCATGTATTTCATATACACAGATTCAGGAACATAGAGATACTCCCACCCTTCCTCTTCCTCCCTCTCCTATTCCCATTCTTATTTATTACAAAGATCTCTTTTCAGTTAACGTTATACTCATAAGATTAAGCCTACACCAAGAGTTCAGCAAATAGTTTAATGAAAACAAACAAAACACTGTTCCTCAACAGTCCACACAAGGGCTATAAAAGATCATTGCATCTCAAAGTGTCAATTTCACTCCTGTAGCTTACCTGTCAGGTGCTCTATTAGTTACCACAGATCAGGGAGAACATATGGCATTTGTATTCTGGGGATTAGTTTATTTCCCTGAGTATTATGGTTTCCAGTTGCATTCGTTTTGTTGCAAACGACAAGATTTCATTTTTTACTGCTGTGTAGTATTCCATAGCGTATATATACCATATGTGGGGAGCAACTCGGACTAGACTGTTACTGGAATTAAGACTTATTCTATGCATCTGCTCTCCCACAATATGGCGCTGGGAGAGAAGAAAGAGGCTTCTACACAGCTGCCTCCAGTTCAGCCAATAAACTGTAGGACTTGCTCCTGATTGGAGAGCAGCGTACTCGGCGTGTGGGCAGCCGAGTTGGGATTGGCGGAGGAGGACTATAAAGGAGGAGAGAGACGGCATTCACCAGGAACATCTACGAGGAACATCTAAGGGGAACACTGTGCAGCCCCCGAGAGAGCCGGCCGGCGGTGTGCCGCTCCCCTGCGGAAGTGGGGAATGTGGCCAGGGGGAACTGCCCTTCCACGGAGGTGGAAGGGATAGTAGCCAACCCGGGAAGAACCAGCAGCAAACCCGGGGAGGGCCGAGCAGACGAAAGAACAGCGCAGGGTCCTGTGTTGCTCCTCCACAAAGAGGGGGAGCGACATAATGGTGCCGTGACTCGGATATGAAGCCTAGGCAGGGTCCTGTGTCGTTCCTCCACGAAGAGGGGGAGCGACATAATGGTGCCGTGACTCGGATATGAAGCCTAGGCAGGGTTTAGTGTCGCTCCTCCACGAAGACGGGGAGCGACACCATAATTTCTTTATCTAGTCTCAGTTGATGGACATCTGGGTTGATTCCACGTGTTAGCTATTGTGAATTGAGCTGCAATAAACATGGGGGTACAGATCACTCTTTTATATGCTGATTTCCTTTCTTTTGGGTAAATTCCCAGGAGTGAGATGGCTGGGTCATACAATATCCCGATATTGTCTTTTTTTTTTATTTTAAGCTTTTAATTTATTTTTAATTGACACATAATTATTGTATATATAAAATAAATTTCTTTTTCTTAAAAGATTTATTTATTTATTTGAAAGTCAGAGTTACGCAGAGAGAGGAGAGGCAGAGAAAGAAAGAGGTCCTCTGTCAGATGGTTCACTCCCCAGATGGCACTACTTCCGGGTCTCCCACGTGGGTGCAAGGTCCCAAGGACTTGGGCCATCTCCTACTGCTTTCCCAGGCCATAGCAGAGAGCTGGATTGGAAGAGGAGAAGCCAGGACTAGAACCGGCGCCCATATGGGATGCCAGTGCTTCAGGCCAGGGTGTTAACCTGCTGCGCCACAGTGCTGGCCTCTAAATTTCAATGCATGTGTAATTATCAATAAATTGAGAATAACTGGAGTCCCCACTCCATAATGGCACCAGTTTACATTCCCACCAACAGTGGATTAGGGTACCTTTTCCCCTACATCCTCCCTAGCATTGGTTGTTTGTACATTTCTGTATGAAAGCCATTCTAATGGGGGTGGGATGGGGATGTGTGTGTGAGGTGAGACTTCATTGTGGTTTTAATTTGCATTTCCCTGATGGCTAGTAATTTAGGCAATCTTTTTGCTGCCTTGATGGTGCATTATCCCAGAGCTGTTTCAGAAATGGAGCAGCTGGGGCTGAGCTGCTGCTCTGACATGAGATGCCAGTGGAGCAAGCAGTGGCCCAACACATTGCACTACGCTGGCCCCTGAATTTATTTCTTTTTTTTTTTTTTTGACAGGCAGAGTGGACAGTGAGAGAGACAGAGAGAAAGGTCTTCTCTTGCCGTTGGTTCACCCTCCAATGGCCGCTGCGGTCGGCGCGCTGCGGCCGGCGCACCGCGCTGATCCGATGGCAGGAGCCAGGAGCCAGGTGCTTTTCCTGGTCTCCCATGGGGTGCAGGGCCCAAGCACCTGGGCCATCCTCCACTGCACTCCCTGGCCACAGCAGAGAGCTGGCCTGGAAGAGGGGCAACCGGGACAGAATCCGGCGCCCCGACCGGGACTAGAACCCGGTGTGCCGGCGCCGCTAGGCGGAGGATTAGCCTAGTGAGCCGCGGCGCCGGCCCCCCTGAATTTATTTCTTAAGTAAACACATTTCTTCTGTATTGAATCTTTAACCCCTCCCCTCATGTGAGTCCTTTTCAAGGAATTCACTGTCTTCCTAGTAGTTAAATGTAAGCTGACTTCTATATGGCTTTCTCTCTAGGGGACCCTTCTTTAAAAAAAAAAAAAAAAAAAAAGGCAGAGAGAGAGAGAGAGAGAACAAGAGATCTTCCGTCCTCTGGTTCGTTCCCCAAATGTCCACAATAGCCAGGGCTGAGCCAAGCTAAAGTGAGGAGCCTGAAACTTAGTCCAGGTCTCGCATATTGGGGACAGAGACCCAAATAAATACTTGAGCCATCACCTGCTGCCTCCCAGGATAAGCACTAACAGGAAACTGGAATGGAAGTAGAAGAGCCAGAGCTCACTATGGGATGTGGACTTCTCAGGCAGCGGCTTAAGCTCTGTACCAAATGCCAGCCCCTACCCTTTGGTTCTCTCTGCAGACCTCAGGGATTCATTTATTTTTCTCCTCCTCTCCTCACCGCTGCTGCACTCTGCTTCTGGGTCTGTATTAGCATTGTCAGTGACCCCCTCTCACCAGGTTAAACACGAAGGGATTAATGAAGGGGCATTAGGAGGCCTGACTCATTTCCAGGAGGACAAGGCAATCATCCTTGGGCCAGGGCACCATCCTGTAGCACCTTTTGACACAAGGTTCACTATTGCCACTACACGCCACTTAGCGTCTCTGGCCAGGATTCTCTCCGCAGTCCCAGTAGTGTTAGTCAAACGGAAGACAGCTGATATTTGTTTGTTATATTTTCCAGTGATGGTGTCTTATTCTAATGCATTGGCATACTAATGACAATCCTTTTTTTTTTTTAATGGATGGGATTAAAGTGTGTTGGCCATGGGCTGGTGTTGTGGTACAGCAGGTTAAGCTGCTGCCTACAACACATATGGGTGCTGATTCAAGTCCTGGCTGCTCCACTTCTGATCTAGCTCCCTGCTAAAGCAACTGGGAAAGCAACAGAAGATGGACCAAGTGCCTGGGCCCCTGCACCTCTGTGGGAGACCTGGAAGAAGCTCTGACCCAGCCCTAGCTGTTGTGGCCTTTTGGGGAGCAAACCAATGGATGGAAGACCTCTCTCTGTCTCTCCCTTTCTCTGTAATTTTGCCTCTCAAATAAATAAATAAATCTTAAAAAACAAAAACACCTGGTTCAACCCCTGCTTTACTAATTCCAGCTTCCTGCTACTGCAGATGTTGGGAGGCAGCAGATGATGGCTGCCAGCTGCCAGTACCCTGTGTGGAGTTCCCAGCTCCTGGCTCCTGCCTCAGTCCAGTCCCAGGCACTGTGGGCATTTGGAGAGTAGACCAGTGGATAGAAATGCTCATTTGCTCTCTGTTTCACTGCTTCTCAAATAAAAAAATATAATTAAAGATCAGAACCCTTTAAAAGGCTCTGCTGCTGGCTGGGCACTGTGGCACACTGGGTTACCCCTGATTTGGGACACTCATGCTTCATATCTGATTGCTAATCTGAGTCCTGGCTATTCCACTTCCAATCCAACTTCCTGGCTCAGATGCTTGGGCCCCTGCCGCTGGTGTGGGAGACCAGGAAGCAGTTCCTAGCTCCTGGCTTCAGCCTAGCCCAGACCTGGCTGTGCAGACATTTGGGGAGTGAACCAGCAGATAGAAGATCTCTCTCTCTCTCTCTCTCTCTCTCTCGTCTTTCTGCCTTTCACATAGATAAAAATAACGTTTTTTTACAAAGATTCTGCTGATATGGCTTGGGAAAGCAGTAGAAGATGGCCCAAGCCCTTGGGCCCCTGTACCCACGTGGGAAACCGGGAAGAAGCTCCTGGCTCCTGGTTTCGGATTGGTGCATCTCCTGCCATTGTGGCCAACTGGGGAGTGAACCAGCAGATGGAAGATTTCTCTCTCTCTGCACCTCTCCTCTCTCTGTGTAACTCTGACTTTCAAAAAAAAAAATAAATAAATCTTTAAAAAAAATGATTCTGCTGATCCTTTTGGTGAAAATCAAAGAAACCATGCAAGAGACAGATATAGGAGACGTATTGTTGAATCAGTAAAAATCCCATTTTTTGATGCACTATTCTTTTCCATTTACTACTAGAATGTTGTATTCTATTTACAAGGCCACCAAAAACCTCAAAAAGTTCTCTGTATTATTTCTTCAGTCCCTATTGGAATGCAAAGGGAACTGTGGTCCAACTCAGTAATCTGAGTACACGCATTAATAATTACCACGCCCAGCACTTGAGACCTCATCCAAAGGACAGTAAAAGAAGTATCAACACGGGAAGCATTTCTGAGGCCTGTGAGTGGATGCAGGAAGTGCCTGGCCCAGGGGTGGGAGCAGACCCTGCAGAGGGTCTGTGGCAAGCTGTCCTTGAACAGCGGCTAGCCTGCAGCCAATCCACTGGGCCAGCCGACTTGCAGATCCTTCCAGCCCAGACAGGGTCAGTTTACCACAACAGGCAGTTCTACCCGTTCCTCAGGAGGGCGATTTGGAGCCCTGAGCTTGCGAAACCCCGGATCTTACCTGGGAAGTGCCTGCCAACGTGCCCCAGAGGAAGTCATTATCTTCATTTTAGGGGTCAGGAAACCAAACAGTTCTCTCACCAGAGGGAGACAGTATCTCTAACCTCCAAAGACGGTTGCTAAACAGACAGTCTTGAGAAGATGGTTTGGACAAAGCGGCCACAAAATGTGCAGAAACACCAAGGAGAACAGCCTCCCGCCACGCTGTAGGCAGAGTGGAGCCAGATGGAGCCATGAGGGGGAAAACAGGGGGTCAAAGAAAGGTCTAAGGGGCACCTCCCACTCTGAGGGTGGGGGAGGGTTTACCCTGGTAATCTCCACCCCCTGGGGTTCACCAAATATGTTTTAAGGTTACAGTCTCCTTTTCTTGGGCTAACTGATGTCGCAAGAAGTCGTAAAGTGCGGGCCAGCCTATAGGACAAGTCACAGAGGGGCTGGGCAAAGGTTTGGACCGGACAGGAGTCACACTGACACTGCAGAGGTCTAGCTATGGCTGCCAAGACCTTCGGATGGCAAAGGATGTCGCTCCCCCTCTTCGTGGAGGAACGACACAGGACCCTGCGCTGTTCTTTTGTCTGCTCGGCCCTCCCCGGGTTTGCTGCTGGTTCTTCCCGGGTTGGCTACCGACCCTTCCACCTCCGTGGAAGGGCGGTTCCCCCTGCCACATTCCCCACTTCCGCGGGGGAGCGGCACACCGCCGGCCGGCTCTCTCGGGGGCTGCACAGGTGTTCCTTCAGATAGATGTTCCTGGTGCATGTTATCTCTCTCCTCCTTTATAGTCCTCTTCCACCAATCCCAACTCTGCTACCCACACGCCGAGTACGCTGCTCTCCTCCAATCAGGAGCAGGATCAGCTCCTGCAGGTCATCACTCAAGTTGGCGAGAGGCAGCTGCATAGAAGTTGTTACTCCCTTCTCAGCGCCATATTGTGGGAGAGCAGATGCATAGAATAAGTCTTAATTCCAGTAACAGTCTAGTCCGAGTTGCTCCCCACAAAAGGAGGCACAAGCAGTTAAACCCTGGGGCACAAACAGTGAGCAGTAAAGACCACAGCTCTGCAAATGACCCTCAGTGCCCAAGTCCTTGAAAAAGCCCTTCAGGGGCCAACATCATGGCACAGGTGGTAAAGCCACTGCTTGCAACACTGGCATCCCATATCTGAGACCCCATTAGAGACAGGCTGCTCCACTTCTAATCCAGCTTCCTGCTAATACACCTTGGAAGGCACAAAATGGTGATTCAAGCATTTGGGTCCCACAAGCGTGTCTACCCACACAGAAGACACAGATGGAGCTACTGACTCCTGGCTTCAGTTTGATCCAACCCCAGCCACTGTAGCCAACTGGGGAGTAAACCAGCAGATGGAAGCGCTCGCTCGCTCACTCGCTCTCTTTTCCTCTGTCTCTGCCTCTGTCTTTGTCTTTGTTTCTCTTTCTCTTTTTGTTCTGTTGCCTTTCTTTTTATAAGGAGAAAAAAAGGAAATACCCCTTCAATGTGTAACAAGGTATAAAAAACATAACAAATCATTTTAACCACTTGTATTAAAAGTAAAACCAAGGGACAGTGCTGTGGCGTAACAGGTAAAGCCACCACCTGCAGTACTGGCATACTATATGGGCGCCGATTCGAGTCCTGGCTGTTCCACTTCCGATCCAGCTCTCTGCTATGGCCTGGGAAAGCAGTGGAAGATGGCCCAAGTCCTTGGGCGCAGCTCCGGCCAACTGGAGAGTGAACCTGTGGATGGAAGACCCCTCTTTCTCTCTCTGCCTCTCCTTCTCTCTCTGTGTTACTCCATCTCTAGTTCTCTCTCTCTCTCTTTCTCTCTCTCTCTCTCTTTCTGCCTTTCAAAACAACAACGCAAAGCAGTAACTGGCAGAAGAACTGAAAGCAATGATTTACCTCTGCTGAGAGAGGAGTGTGAGATGAATCTTTATCTTTCACAACAGGAAGTCAAGAGGTAGTATCTAAAGTTGGTAAACTGCAAAACAGCCATGAAAGCATGATAGCTAGTTAGGTAATTACTTAAAACAGAGACCGAATGTCAGTCTCTGGACGATAGACTGGGCACAGGTACCTGGGTGCACTGATTTTGTTTTTTAAATCATATGCTTATATTACCTTAATACATTAAATACTTTTAAGATATATAAATAAATAAATATATAAATATATATTATAAATATATACATTAAATACTTTTAAGATATATAAATGGGGTTACACCTATCTACCCCCTCTTCCAGTATGATTCCATGAGTAAAATGTTTCTGAAACTTTTCTCTTTCTTTTATTATTGGTAATGCTCATCAAACTAGCCTCTTTTTCCCACTTCTATCAGTACCAATCTCCAGGATTTTTACCAATGTTAAGCATGCTCAGTATTCAATGTGTCAAACATTTGCCTGAACCAAATACCTAAGGCAAGACTCAGAATTTCAATCTTACTTGTTTATTCAGTCATTCATACACCCATACATTCATTTATTCAATGTGTATTTTGTGAATGCTTAATATTGAGGGAGAATAAAAGATAATTTCCCCTGAACTCTCCTAAACTCATAGTTGGGATAGACTCCTACAACAAAAGACAGGTTAACAAGAAAAAAACAGGAACATTGATTAATGCATGCCATATACATAATGCAGAAGAAAAACATAACTCAAAAACAGTGGCTTAGAAGCCTGGCTCTTGCAGGATATCTTACAAAGAACAATAAATTTTAGAGAAGTGACAAGACAAAGGAAAAGCAGTCCCAGCCTCCAAGAGGTGAGAGATGATGGGAAGGTAAATTTATGCTCACAGATTGTCTGGCACTGAAGCTGAGCTGATGCAGGCTGTGAAGGAGAATTTACATCCTGTCTTTATGAAGGCAGTGGAAAGATCTTGTCTTTGTAAATCTCTGCCCTGCTTTTAAGCAGGCAAAGAGTTCCCGTGCTTCTTAATTTTCTGCAGTTCAACATTTTGAGAAAACATATTCTGATTTCCTCCAATATGCAGCCAGCTCTGGGGATAAGAAGGGAGAGCTTGGCAAATTAACATACCTCCTCCAGTCCACTGGGAGAGAAGCCTGAGTAACTGATTATATGCTTAAGTTTACCATAATGAGTGCCATGTTTTCATCAGCTTTGCCTCACTACAGTGAAATACCTAAGGCAGGCTACTGATAAAGAAAAGAGGCTACAGCCCGCACTGTGGCATAGTGGGTAAAGCCACCATCTGCAGCGCCAGCATCCCATATGGGAGCCGGTTCTAGTCCTGGCTGCTCCACTTTCAATTCAGCTCTCTGGTATGGCCTGGGAAAGCAGTAGAAGATGGCCCAAGTCCTTGGGCCCCTGTACCCGTGTGTGACAACTGAGAGGAAGCTCCTGGCTCCTGGCTTCAGCTCAACTCAGCTCCAGCCATTGTGACCATTTTGGGAGTGAACCAGTGGATGAAAGACCTCTCTCTCTTTCTCTGCCTCTGTCTCTCTGTGACTCTGCCTTTCAAATGAATAAATAAATCTTAAAAAGAAAAAAAGAGAGAAAGAAAAGAAAGAGAGAGAAAGAGAGAGAGAGAGGGAGGGAGAAAGAAGGAAAAGAGGCTTATCTGGCTGACCATGTTGGAGGTTCAAGGACATCAGCTGGACTCTGGGGAAAGCCCTGTCAGCTGCATCACACGGTGGTGAATGGTAATAGCAGAGTGTGTGTGGGAGCCAAGAATCCCAACTCAGATGGGAAGCTGAGAGAGCAAGAGTGAGGCCAGGTTCAGACTTTCACAGCAATCTGCCTGCAAGACCCACCAAGGGGCCACAGGAGCTAATGGAAGCCCTTTGAGGGCAGCACCCCCAGTAAGACCTAAGGACCTCCCACTAGGCCCCACCTCTTAAAGGTTCCAGTACTGCTTCTAACACAGAGGGGACATGAGCCCCTGGAGAACACCCAAACCATAACACACCACAGCTGGAAAGTAAGTGCCTGGAAAGTTGTGAGAGCCTGGGCAGAGGGAGGTGAGTGACAACAGGAATTCTCACCTGTCTCCATCATTCCTGCCTCTGTCACACAGCCCCAATGATCTCAACCACAACAGTCAGACTCAGCTGTATCTGCCTACCCCTTGAAAACATTGCCTTCTCTCTGAGCCCTGCCATACCCCCAGGGCTGTATCTGAGAAGAAAGGCAGGGGTAGGTATTTAGCACAGCAGTTAAGACACTACTTGTGGCCGGCACGTGGCTCACTAGGCTAATCCTCCGCCTTGCGGCGCCGGCACACCGGGTTCTAGTCCTGGTCTGGGCGCCGGATTCTGCCCTGGTTGCCCCTCTTCCAGGCCAGCTCTCTGCTGTGGCCAGGGAGTGCAGTGGAGGATGGCCCAAGTGCTTGGGCCCTGCACCCCATAGGAGACCAGGAGAAGTACCTGGCTCCTGGCTTCGGATCAGCGTGATGCGCCGGCCGCAGCACGGCGGCCATTGGAGGGTGAACCAACAGCAAAAGGAAGACCTTTCTCTCTCTCTCTCTCTCTCTCTCTCACTGTCCACTCTGCCTGTCAAAAAAAAAAAAAAAAAAAAAAAAAAAAAGACACCACTTGGGATGCCTGCATCCCATATCAGAGTGCCTGGGTTCAAGCCCAGGCAATCCCTGCTTGGGATTCCAGCTTCCTGCTAATGTATATCCTGGGAGTCAGCAGGTGGTTGGGCCCATGACAACCACATGGAATGCGACTGAGTTCTGGGCGCCTCTTTTCAGCCTGGCTTGGCCCCAGCGACTGCAGGTATCTGGGGAATGAACCAGCAGATGGAAGTTCTGTCTGTTTCTCTGTGTGTCTTTGAAATAAATAAAAAATAAGTTTAAAAACCTTTATAACAAGGCAGGGAAGTGCTTAGGTCAGTATCAGAGTGTGTGGTTTGAGTCCTAGCTACTCCACTTCCGATCCAGCTTCCTGCTAATGTGTATCCTGAAAGGTTGCAAATGATGGGTCAAGTACTTGAGTCCCTGCCACCCATGAATGGAATTCCAGTCTCCCAGCTTCCGCCTGGGCCAGGCAGAATGCTTTTTTGTTTTGTTTTGTTTTAGTTTTCAACTATTTGAAAGGCAGAGTGATAAAGAAAGAGAGATCTTCCATCTGCTGCTTTACTCCCCAGATGCCTGCAATAGGTAGGGTTGGGCCAGGCCAAGGCCCAAAGACCTTAACATTCCATCTGAGACTCTCATGTGGGAGGCAGAGGCCTAA